AATTAGCCATATTATAGCCTGATATTAAGGCAATTGTTTGGTGGTTTAATTGTATATTATACCAGTACCTATAAATGAGTGTGGTTAACCCAGGGGTGGCCAACAGTTTTTGCCCCCTGGCTGAAGTGGAAAGAAAACTTTTTCTACGGGCTGAACCACAGGCTGCCCTAGGAAGATTTTGAGGTGGTGTGAGATCCCATTGTGGTGTCACCCTGTAGATACTGAATTGTAGATAGAGATTACAGATACATTTTTCACATTACATGCTTTATCAACACTTTACGCTGTACTTACGAGATTTGTAATGGAGAGTTAACTCCAAACGCACAGTGAGTTGTTGATTTATTTTTTTTTATTTTTTAGGAATCAGAATTTTTCATTGAGCTATTCGGACTTGAGTAGCTAATATTGAAAGATTGATTGCGGGCCACATAATTCATTAGATGGGCTGTATGTTGGCCATGCCTGGGTACAACTTTTAGGTATACAACTTTTAGGAACGAATTAAATACAAAAGCTTAGGTTTGAATGTACATTTGTTTCTCTCTGAAATTTTGTGTAATTGTTGTCTAACAATCAAATGTTTAGTGACAATGTGCAGAAGTTTCTGTGAAGTTATGTTTTGTCTATTTTTATGATTTCAAAGGTATTTCTAAGCAGGTCAATAGTTTAATTTTTATGCTATAAATTCAATACCAAGGTATGATTTATTTATGCTTGCAATAGAATTGTGAGAATACGACCGGCATATTGCCCTCTTATCATCAGATCGGTAGGATCCGCTTACTCTGTCGGTGGATGGCTATATAGGAGAGAGTAAAAATACAAGTGGGGAGGGAAGACACAGGTAAGTTCAATCAGGGTCCATATAAATTGAATGAGTAGACACGAGCATTTACAAAAACACATAGATTTAATAGATATACAACTACTAACAAAATAAACTACAAACTAAATAAATGGGATTCACCTCTAAATGATGAGAGAGAGTTTACAATAATCTATAAAGAATACCTCTGGCTGATGCAATCTAACTGAGATAATATATGGAGAAGTCTTTCTGATATGGAGACAACATAGGGTTGTAGAGTAGTGAGACAGGACTTCAATGCCTGACCACTTTGGCTATGCAGGAATCTTCATAATCTTCATATGGTTGTCATCTTCTATGTCTCTTCTGCTCGGGTCGTCTTCCTCTATGGCAATCTTGGATTATCATCGGCTGCCTCAAATAAGGGAATTTACCCTTTTTATAGAAAAATTCTCCAATCACACTTTTTAATTTGTATCATCTGACAGGATGATGTCTAACAGGACGTTCCACCTGACTCAGATGACAGATGTTCTGTGGAGATGTGTGATAAGATCTTATAAAAAAGAAGTTTTACTTTCCTTCAATCTAGGGCTTTTCCAAATAAGATGACATGTGTGTCATTTTTAATGTTAATTATTACTTTAAATTATTATTTTAGCAAAATTTTTTACTCATAAAACAATCTCAAATCTGCACAGAATAATCTTCAATTGTTATTATTTTTTGTGTATTTTTGGTATTTTATGATTATCCATACAACCAATATATTGTGGTTGTGTTTTTTTTTTACACATGGATTCAATTAGAGGTAGAAAAATATTGCAATTGTTGACTAAATTGGACGATGAAAGAGTTGAAGACCAGTTCAGAATAGAATCAAACTCCAAACAATAAAGTAACTTGGAAGAAGAGGTTAATACACAGACTGAATGAAGTGAACAAGACACTTTATTGTCTCCTGATATGGTAGTCAATATTGTTTGTCGAAAGCACAACTGAAGATTCATTATTGACTCTGACGATGATGCTTTGAAGCTATCTGAGCATCAGCAACCACATTCACGACACTATCCATTCCACATACTCCATCCTGGTAAAAATTATATACGTGGCAAAGATAAACACAACTGGTCCACTAATCCACAGTTGCTCATAATATTGTTTTCTTTATACCTGTCTTATCAATCAAGTTAGAGATAATTTAAACTTGCAATATTTAATCCATTTCTTTGTTTCTGATGAAATGGACTCAGTTACCCATATGTCACCCAAAATAATTCCACGTTCAAATTGGCCAATGTAAAAAGCTAATGGGCAATGCTTTTGCATCAATAATTAAAGAAAATTATGTAGCAGCATTCATCATGCAGAAAAAATTATGGAAAAATATAGGGAATCCACAACATTGTGGAACAACTTGTAATTAATGTCACTGAGTGAATCTTTTGAAAGCAAAGATGATGATCCCATTTTACTGTCAGATTGATGTCATGAAAAGTAAAAGATCCTTTTCAGGACCAAAAACTACTGGTAAAGAGAAGCCAAGTCAAACTTATATAAAACAATTATTATCTATATATATAAAAATGAATGTATGTGTGTCTGTCCTTCATGCATTACCACACTGTTTATTCGATTGCCATGAAACTTTGGGAAGTTGTTTAATATACTCCCGCGAAGGCTTGTGGCATAGTACGATTGCCATGAAACTTTGGAAAGTTTTTTAATTTTTTAATACACTCCCGCAAAGTACATTTTTTCCTACGATAGATGGCGCGCGTTTACACGTGCATTCGAGTAGTGTGTTCGATCGATTTCAAATTGTGAAGACCATTTCCCCCTTTCAAAAAATATCTCTATACATGCATTTGTTATTTACGATATTTGTAATAATTTTTGTTTAATCACTTTATTTCAACTTTTTTTTGCTAATTATGTATTCGCTCGAACTTCGTTAAAACCTTAACTGTACCCCGAACAACAACCGAAGTTGTAGGAAGAAATTCGCGTATTTTACCGATCTAG